GGGGTGTTATACCGGGTTTACCTTGTATCAACACTGTTACGGCGTGTTATCCAGGTTTTCCCTAGTGTTTAACACGTTACGGCGTATTTAAACCCAGGCATTACCCCAAAGGGTAACTACTTTTACGGGTGGGTTATAAGGCTTTACCCAGTGATTAACATGTACGGGTTATTACAGCTTTACCTTATGATCTAACTATGTACGGCTAGTTTATAACCCGGCATTACCTTAGGATCTAACACTGTACGGCGTATTATCCAGGCATTATTTTGGTTAAACTATTTTACGGGTTTTTTAGTTTTTTAAACCCGGGCTTTACCTAGTGATCAACTACGTTACCTTTAGGTAGAAACCCAGGATTCCCTTTGTGATCTAACATTTACGGGGATTTAAAAGGTTTCCTTAGGATCAAAACACTTTTAGGCGTGTTATCCCGGATCTTAGTGACTAACTACTTTTCGGCTAGTTATCCCGGTTTCCCTCTAGTATCTAACTACTGTTACGGCGTAGTTATACCAGGCATTACCTCTAGTGATCTAACTACTGTTACGGCGTAGTTATACCAGGCATTACCCCTAGTGATCTAACTACTGTTACGGTGTAGTTATACCAGGCATTACCTCTAGTGATCTGACTACTGTACGGCGTAGTTATACCAGGCATTACCTCTAGTGATCTAACTACTTGTTACGGCGTTAGTTATACAGGCATTACCTCTAGTGATCTAACTACTGTTACGGTGTAGTTTAGTTATACCAGGCTTACTTCTAGTGATCTAACTACTGTTACGGTTGTAGTTATACCAGGCATTACCTCTAGTGATCTAACTACTGTTACGGGTAGTTAACCAGGCATTACCTCTAGTGATCTAACTACTGTTACGGCGTAGTTAACCAGCATTACCTCTAGTGATCTAACTACTGTTACGGCGTAGTTATACCAGGCATTACCTCTAGTGATCTAACTACTGTTACGGCGTAGTTATACCAGGCATTACCTCTAGTGATCTAACTACTGTTACGGCGTAGTTATACCAGGCATTACCTCTAGTGATCTAACTACTGTTACGGTTGTTAGTTATACCAGGCATTACTCTAGTGATATGACTACTGTTACGGCGTAGTTATACCAGGCATTACCTCTAGTGATCTAACTACTGTTACGGCGTAGTTATACCAGGCATTACCTCTAGTGATCTAACTACTGTTACGGCGTAGTTATACCAGGCATTACCTCTAGTGATCTAACTACTGTTACGGTGTAGTTATACCAGGCATTACCTATAGTGATCTGACTACTGGTGACCATTCATTTTAATTTGGGGGAGAAGACAATAATTCAGCGACGTAACAGTTAGTGGACAAATAGAAAGTGACTGCAGTAGTAATGACTGTAATTCACTTTGGATAAAAGTGTCTCCTAAATGGCACATTTATATGTATTATATTATTAAAGCATATCTTTGTGTCTATCCACCAGGTGTTGGCGAACCACATGGCCAACGGCGGTAACCCCATGAACCCTGGTGGAAGTCATCCCATGGGTCAGGGGGGTGTGTCTGGGAACAACCAGGGGATGAACTCCCCCCAGTACCCGGGACAGCAGCAGCAGTTCCCCAACAAGGGCCAGCAGAACCAGCAGAACCAGGCCTACATGCAGCAGGGCCTGTACGGACCCAACAAGGGCCAGCAGAACCAGGCCTACATACAGCAGGGCCTGTACGGACCCAGCAAGGGCCAGCAGAACCAGGCCTACATGCAGCAGGGCCTGTACGGACCCAACAAGGGCCAGCAGAACCAGGCCTACATGCAGCAGGGCCTGTACGGACCAACCAAGGGCCAGCAGAACCAGGCCTACATACAGCAGGGCAGTACGGACCCCAACAAGGGCCAGCAGAACCAGGCCTACATACAGCAGGGCCTGTACGGACCCAACAAGGGCCAGCAGAACCAGGCCTACATACAGCAGGGCCTGTACGGACCCAACAAGGGCCAGCAGAACCAGGCCTACATGCAGCAGGGCCTGTACGGACGCCAGGGCTACCATGAGGGAGGAGGTGGCTTTGGGGGGAAGTGAGTGTGGGGAGTTTTTATGGTAAAGTCCCTAATGGCACCCTATTCCCTATATAGTGCACTACTTTTGGTCATAAATTACCTATATAGTGCACTATATAGAGGGAATAGGGTGCCATTTGGGACACCTTCTGTGTTTTTAAAGTAGTGTATAGGTGTACAGTGCCTTCGGAAAGTATTCAGACCCCTTGACTTTTTCCACATTTTGTTACGTTACAGCCTTATTCTAAAATGGATTAAATTGTTTTTTCCCCCTCATCAATCTACACACAATACCCCATAATGACAAAGCAAAAACTGGTTTTTACAAATGTTTGCTAATTTATAAAAAATAAAAAATAAAGGACATTTACGTAAGGATTCAGACCCTTTACTCAGTACTTTGTTGAAGCACCTTTGGCAGCAATTACAGTCTTGAGTATTCTTGGGTATGACGCTACAAGCTTGGCACACCTGTATTTGGGGAGTTTCTCCCATTCTTCTCTGCAGATCCTCTCAAGCTCTGTAAGGTTGGATGGGAAGCGTTGCTGCACAGCTATTTTCAGGTCTCTCCAGAGATGTTCGATCGGGTTCAAGTCCGGGCTCTGGCTGGGCCACTCAAGGACATTCAGACTTGTCCCGAAGCCACTCCTACGTTGTCTTGGCTGTGTGCTTAGGGTTGTTGTCCTGTTGGAAGGTGAACCTTCGCCCCAGTCTGAGGTCCTGAGCACTCTGGAGCAGGTTTTCATCAAGGATCTCTCTGTACTTTGCTCTGTTCATCTTTCCCTCGATCCTGACTAGTCTCCCTGCCGCTGAAATGCACCTCCACAGCATGATGCTGCCACCACCATGCTTCACCGTAGGGATGGTGCCAGGTTTCCTCCAGACATGATGCTTGGCATTCAGGTCAAAGAGTTGAATCTTGGTTTCATCAGACCAGACAATCTTGTTTCTCATGGTCTGAGAGTCTTTAGGTGCCTTTTGGCAAAATCAAAGCAGGCTGTCATGTGCCTTTTACATTTACATTTACATTTACATTTACGTCATTTAGCAGACGCTCTTATCCAGAGCGACTTACAAATTGGTGCATTCACCCTATAGCCAGTGGGATAACCACTTTACAATATGTTTTTTTTTATTTTATTAAAAAAAAATTTAGGGGGGGTAGAAGGATTACTTTATCCTATCCCAGGTATTCCTTAAAGAGGTGGGGTTTCAAATGTCTCCGGAAGGTGGTGAGTGACTCCGCTGTCCTGGCGTCGTGAGGGAGCTTGTTCCACCATTGGGGTGCCAGAGCAGCGAACAGTTTTGACTGGGCTGAGCGGGAACTATGCTTCCGCAGAGGAAGGGGAGCCAGCAGGCCAGAGGTGGATGAACGCAATGCCCTCGTTTGGGTGTAGGGACTGATCAGAGCCTGAAGGTACAGAGGTGCCGATCCCCTCACAGCTCCATAGGCAAGCACCATGGTCTTGTAACAGATGCGAGCTTCAACTGGAAGCCAGTGGAGTGTGCGGAGGAGCGGGGTGACGTGAGAGAACTTGGGAAGGTTGAACACCGGATGGGCTGCGGCATTCTGGATGAGTTGTAGGGGTTTAATGGCACAGGCAGGGAGCCCAGCCAACAGCGAGTTGCAGTAATCCAGACGGGAGATGACAAGTGCCTGGATTAGGACCTGTGCCGCTTCCTGTGTAAGGCAGGGTCGTACTCTCCGAATGTTGTAGAGCATGAACCTGCAGGATCGGGTCACCGCCTTGATGTTAGCGGGAGAACGACAGGGTGTTGTCCAGGGTCACGCCAAGGCTCTTCGCACTCTGGGAGGAGGACACAACGGAGTTGTCAACCGTGATGGCGAGATCATGGAACGGGCAGTCCTTCCCCGGGAGGAAGAGCAGCTCCGTCTTGCCAAGGTTCAGCTTGAGGTGGTGATCCGTCATCCATACTGATATGTCTGCCAGACATGCAGAGATGCGATTCGCCACCTGGTTATCAGAAGGGGGAAAGGAGAAGATTAGTTGTGTATCGTCAGCGTAGCAATGATAGGAGAGGCCATGTGAGGATATGACAGAGCCAAGTGACTTGGTGTATAGGGAGAATAGGAGAGGGCCTAGAACTGAGCCCTGGGGGACACCAGTGGTGAGTGCACGTGGTGCGGAGACAGCTTCTCGCCACGCCACTTGGTAGGAGCGACCGGTCAGGTAGGACGCAATCCAGGAGTGAGCCGCGCCGGAGATGCCCAGCTCGGAGAGGGTGGAGAGGAGGATCTGATGGTTCACAGTATCAAAGGCAGCAGACAGGTCTAGAAGGACAAGAGCAGAGTAGAGAGAGTTAGCTTTAGCAGTGCGGAGAGCCTCCGTGACACAGAGAAGAGCAGTCTCAGTTGAATGACCAGTCCTGAAACCTGACTGGTTTGGATCAAGAAGGTCATTCTGAGAGAGATAGCAAGAGAGTTGGCTAAAGACGGCACGCTCAATAGTTTTGTAAAGAAAAGAAAGAAGGGATACTGGTCTGTAGTTGTTGACATCAGTGGGATCGAGTGTTGGTTTTTTGAGAAGGGGTGCAACTCTCGCTCTCTTGAAGACGGAAGGGACATAGCCAGCGGTCAAGGATGAGTTGATCAGCGAGGGTGAGGTAGGGGAGAAGGTCACCGGAGATGGTCTGGAGAAGAGAGGAGGGGATGGGGGTCAAGCGGGGCAGGTTGTTGGGCGGCCTGCAGTCACAAGTCGCAGGATTTTATCTGGAGAGAGAGGGGGAGAAAGAAGTCAAAGCATAGGGTTAGGGCAGTGTGAGCAGGACCAGCAGTGTCATTAGACTTAACAACGAGGATCGGATGTCGTCAACCTTCTTTTCAAAGTGGTTGACGAAGTCGTCCACAGAGAGAGAGGGGGGGGGGGGGGGGGGGGGGGTTAGGGTTAGGGTTAGGGTTAGGGTTAGGGTTAGGATAGGGGACACAGAGAGTCAAAGGATGCAGAAAGGGAGGAGAGGAGGGTTGAGGAGGCAGAATCAGGAGATTGGAGGGAGAAGGATTGAGCAGAGGGAAGAGATGATAGGATGGAAGAGGAGAGAGTAGTGGGAGAGAGAGAGCGAAGGTTGCGGCGGCGCATTACCATCTGTGTAGGGGCAGAGTGAGTAGTGTTGGAGGAGAGCGAGGAGAGAAAAGGATACAAAGTAGTGGTCGGAGACATGGAGGGGAGTTGCAGTGAGATTAGTAGAAGAGCAGCATCTAGTAAAGATGAGGTCAAGCGTATTGCCTGCCTTGTGAGTAGGGGGGGGACGGTGAGAGGGTGAGGTCAAAATAGGAGAGGAGTGGAAAGAAGGAGGCAGAGAGAAATGAGTCAAATGTAGACGTAGGGAGGTTGAAATCCCCCAAAACTGTGAGGGGTGAGCCATCCTCAGGAAAGGAACTTATCAAGGCGTCAAGCTCATTGATGAACTCTCCAAGGGAACCTGGAGGGCGATAGATGACAAGGATATTAAGCTTAAATGGGCTAGTGACTGTGACAGCATGGAATTCAAATGAGGAGATAGACAGATGGGTTAGGGGAAAAATTGAGAATGTCCACTTGGGAGAGATGAGGATTCCTGTGCCACCACCCCTCTGACCAGATGCTCTCGGGGTATGTGAGAACACATGGTCAGACGAGGAGAGAGCAGTAGGAGTAGCAGTGTTTTCAGTGGTAATCCATGTTTCCGTCAGCGCCAGGAAGTCGAGGGACTGGAGGTTAGCATAGGCTGGGATGAAGTCAGCCTTGTTGGCAGCAGAACGGCAGTTCCAGAGGCTGCCTGAGACCTGGAACTCCAGGTGTGGGGTGCGCGCAGGGACCACCAGGTTAGAGAGGCAGCAGCCACGCGGGTGTGAGGCGTTTGTGTAGCCTGTGCGGAGAGGAGAGAACAGGGATAGGCAGAGGCATAGTTGACAGGCTGTAGCAAATGGCTACAATAATGCAGAGGAGATCGGAATGAAATGAACTAAACATCTGGGAAAGGAGAGAGTATGGCCTCCCTCACCAAAACTCCCAAATATAACTCACCCAACTTCCACCTCAGAAACTATAATTGTTTCACTGAACCACCCGAATAAAAACTCTCCCAACTTCCACTTTAGAAATTAGAATTGTTGTGAACTACAGCGGTTCAATGTTTCAAGGAATAGACTCAACTTACTTTATTCAGCTAGCTAACTATGACGCCATAGCTAACTAGCATGCTAGCATCCAATAACACACAGTTTAGCACCAATACTTGGTTACAACAAACTACCAATAGTGTGTTAACACACTAAACAGATAATTCGTGTCCGTGTCTAGTTCCTTTCATAACGCAGCAATAATTAAACGTTGGCTAGCTAGCACAAATATATTGTATTTAGCTGCTACAGTACAGCTAGCTGGTCGTGTTGGCTAGCTAGCAATGGCTGCTGTGTTGACTTTGTTTGAAAAACGGCGGCGCTGCGAACAAATGTAGCTGGCTAAAATGATATTGTATCTAGTTGCTACCGTTGCTAATAGCTACTCGCCAGCTAGTCCGGGAGGTGAGTTAGCTAGCTAGCTAGCTTCGTGCTACACCCGGCACCGCCGAATACAATGCTAACCTACAATAACTACCCACAACAGCCCACGATGCCTACCTACATTACCTAACTACAATCTAAATACATAATTTAAGCCTTACTCGACAAAGCCCAAGCTATGTATAAAGCCAAACTTACCCGACGCCAGCTGTCTGGGTGGCAGACAAGAAGACATTTGTCTTCTGCAATCAGTAGCTGTAATTAAGTACAGTAGCTACTAACTACCTAACGTTAATGCCTCAGATAATGAGGTTAGAAAAACAGCTGAATGGTAGGTAGCTAGCTGGCTTAATTACAGGTACTCTTAAGCGTGAAATAACATTGGAAACAACTATCCACCGTTGCTAAAAGTTACCAGTAGCTACCCGCTAGCTAGCTAGCTTTATTGGTCCAGGTAGTGGGTTAGCTAGCCTCGTGCTTCGCCGGGCTCCGCCGTATACAATACTTACCTACAATAATTACCTACAATAACCTACAATAACTACCTAAATAAACTACCTACAATACCTAACTACAACTACCTACCTACAATCTAAATACATGGTTTAAGCTTTACTCAACACCATATAAGAAGCCAAGCTTACCTCCTGCTAGAGAAAACACAACCTCTCCCTCATTATTCACGATTCACTAATTGACTGACATAAGAGAAAAACTGCAGATGCAACCAAATTTCGAAATTGCACTTTCTAACTCGCAACTGTAAGTTGCGACCCCGACTGAGTGGCTTCCGTCTGGACACTCTACCATAAAGGCCTGATTGGTGGAGTGCTGCAGAGATGGTTGTCCTTCTGGAAGGTTCTCCCATCTCCACAGAGGAACTCCAGAGCTCTGTCAGTGACCATCAGGCTCTTGTTCACCTCCCTGACCAAGGCCCTTCTCCCCCAATTGTTCCGTTTGGCTGGGCAGCCAGCTCTAGGAAGAGTCTTGGTGGTTGCAAACTTCTTCCATTTATGAATGATGAAGGCCACTGTGTTCTTGGGGACCTTCAATGCTGTAGACATTTTTTGGTACCCTTCCCCAGATCTGTGCCTCGACACATTCCTGTCTCGGAGCTCTACAGACAATTATTTCGATCTCATGGCTTGGTTTTTGCTCTGACATGCACTGACAACTGTGGGACCTTATATAGACAGGTGTGTGCCTTTCCAAATCATGTCCAATTAATTGAATTTACCACAGGTGGACTCCAATCAAGTTGTAGAAACATCTCAAGGATGATCATTGGAAACAGATGCACCTGTGCAAAATTTCGAGTCTCATAGCAAAGGGTCTGAATACGGATGTAAATAAGGTATTTCCGTTTAAAAAATGTAATCAATTAGCAAACATTTCTAAAAACCTGTTTTCGCTTTGTCATTATGGGGTATTGTGTGTAGATTGCTGAGGATATATATTTTTTTTCCATTTTAGAATAAGGCTGTAACGTAACAAAATGTGGAAAAAGTCAAGGGGTCTGAATACTTTCCGAAGGCACTGTATGGAGAGTCGGCCTGGTGGATAAGTTTAAGGTCCTTGAAAACATACAAAAGAGAAATGATGCCATGTTGTTGTCAACCAGGGTGGAGGATTAATGTTTTGGAACTGAAAGTGGTTGTGATGAGGTGGTGTTGAAGGAGTCACACACACACTCTGTGATGAGGTGGTGTTGAAGGAGTCACACACAGGAGGGTAAATCACAGAATAACAGGCTTTAATCCATAAAATACAGGTTTACGCAGAACTGCGTCAAACACACTCCAGGGCACAAAACAGGCACACGGGAAAATACTCCCGTAGATACACAATACACGAGCTCCACCGAGCTTCACTAACCTCCACAATAAACAATCACCCACACAGACAAGGAAGCAGAGGGAAAACTTATACCATGACTAATGAGGGAATAAGGACCAGGTGTGTGTGATTGAAGACAAGACAAATGGAGTGATGATAAATGGATCGGCAGTAGCTAGTAAGCCGGTGACGGCGAACGCCGAAACCTGCCCGAACAAGGAGGGGAGGCAGACAATGATTCTGTGGAGAGAGGAAAATAAGTCCATGTTGTCACGGATCTCGATCTCAAATATGTTTTGGTTTTAAAATCACTTAAAACCTAAAGAGCCATTCGGCAGTTGAAACAATAACAAAGTGGATCCCCGCTACTGTTTCGGTTAGAAGCTGAGTGATGGGGCTGGAGAAATGTTACCACTCTCAAATGTATAGACAGAGCTATAATGGATGCAGGGTTTGACCATCCATGTTCTGAGGTTAATATAATACAGTGTGTGTTCACATTTACCTTGTTTACAAACATTGGGGTAAACCAAGCTTATATGTTGGGTTCTGATGCGGTACAACAGTTGAACTCATGGATACCATTTTTATGTCTATGCTGCAGTTTGAATGAAGTTACTAACTGGTGTTGGCGCAATTGCTAACTAGCATTAGCGCAATGACTGGAAGTCTATGGTGTACGTGTGGCCATTGTTACCGTAGACTTCCAGTCATGGCGCTAATGCTAGTTAGCGTTGGCTCACGCAAACTACCTCTTACTTCCTGCAGAGGCATAAATATGGTATCCACGAGTTCATCTGACTCTGGGAAAGTAGATAAAGGACTTCATTGCGAAAATCCCGAAGTGTCCCTAAAGTTTAGGGTTGAGGTTATCCTCCCTCAGCTCCTCCCATGGACGCCATTTTGTTGCTAAAGTCAATGTGTCCTCCCTCCTAGTTACTCAGTTATTGACATGCTACCGTCTGTTTCCTTTGTTCTACCCGATAGTTACTCAGTTATTGACATGCTACTTTCTGTGTCCTGTCTCCTAGTTACCCTGGAGGTCTTAACTCTGGTCCCGGTGGCATGGGCATGCCCCCCGACTCCCGCCCCCCTGGTGAATTCACCCAACCCGCTGCTGCCGCTGCCGCCGCCGCTGTCGCCGCCGCTGCTGCCACGGCGACCGCCACTGCCACGGCAACCGTTGCCGCCATGCGGCAGGACACACAGAACAAGGAGATGAACCAATATGGACCGGTATGTTGCAACCAGTCAAGGCTCCTCAGAGTAGGAAAGGGAGGACCATCCTCCTCAGTGAATTTCATACAAATAAAAATCGTAAAACATTAAAAAAGTTATCCTTTTTAGATAAAACTATACTAAATATAATCACGTCACCGAGTAATTGATTAAAACACACTATTTTGCAATGAAGGTCTCCAGTAGCCTCAGCAGCACTCTGTAGGGTAGCACCATGGTGTAGCTGGAGGACAGCTGGTTTCCGTCCTCTTCTAGGTACATTGACTTCAATACAAAACCTAGGAGGCTCGTAGTTCTCACCCCCTTCCATAGACTTACACAGTAATTATGACAACTTCCGGAGGACGTCCTCCAACCTATCAGATCTCTTGCAGCATGAACTGACATGTTGTCCACCCAATCCAAGGATCAGAGAATGAATCTAGTACTGAAAGCATAAGCTACAGATAACTAGCACTGCAGTGCATAAAATGTGGTGAGTAGTTGACTCAAAGAGAGAGAAAGACAATAGTTGAACAGTTTTCAACAAATTAATTTCTTCAAAAATGAAAGAGAAGCAAGAGAGAGCTTGAGAGAGAGCTATAGTTCGTCATTTATTTTTAAATTTCACTTACTTAGCAAACAAATGCAGCTAGATAGCTAGTTTAGCCTGCTCGAACAGAGAGATGCTATGTTAGCTAGCTAGCTAGTTTAGCCTACTCAAACACCCGGCTCGAACAGAGAGATGCTATGTTAGCTAGCTAGCTAGTTTAGCCTACTCAAACACCCGGCTCGAACAGAGAGATGTTATGTTAGCTAGCTAGCTAGTTTAGCCTACTCAAACACCCGGCTCGAACAGAGAGATGTTATGTTAGCTAGCTAGCTAGTTTAGCCTACTCAAACACCCGGCTCGAACAGAGAGATGCTATGTTAGCTAGCTGGCTATGCCTATGCATCACAACAGTCAAGGTAAGCTTTTGGTTTGACTAATTTATTGCCACCGGGGTCCCACCGGTGTAACTGCTTACCGACTGTACACTGTAACGTTACTGCGTGATCGTAGCGGGTTTACTAACACGTTAGTTCTATTAGCTATGTTGACAATGACGTTACTTTAGCTAATATGGTGACAAATATGGTGACAAATATGGTGACAAATGTGTAGCGGTTATTATATGGTTTGGCTTGGAAAGGTTTTTTCGCCTTGACACATACAGCTGATGTGTTGTTCATTGAAGTCCACAAAAGAAGGGAAAAGGGGAGGGGAGGAAATAGAAGGAATTCAATGTGGCTGCTATGAAAGTGAACTGTGTTTACGCGTGATCAGGGGTGCATTCATTCCGCCGATTCTGTTGAAAAGTGTTTCTTAAGCGGAAGCAAACGGAACGAAACGGGGATAAACATACCTGAATTTGTCCAATAGAAACTCTCTTTGCAACTTGTTGGACTAATGATTACACCCTAGATCAGCTAGATGCAGGCCAGAGTGTGCAAGGCGGTATTGAATGTGTTACTGTCTGTACATCTGTCACCTCAAAAAAAAATCTCGACCTGTGGGCACCTACATTGTAAAGTTTCATTCATAGGCTAGGTTTGAGTAGTAGCCTAAACCTATCTATGTTACATTGGGTGAATGGAATATGAATGACAGTCATCCAATATGCTGTAATAGAAATAAAGCCATGCTCATGAAAAAAATATATATTCTTCTGGCACCGACCGCCACTAGTTCACAACGTCCATACATACACTATATATACACTATATATATAGCCCCAAGATGACCCTGTATTACCACAAGTAGACAGATACAACGCACAAACCTACAGATATTTTTCTACTTTTGTATCGATGGAACCTCAGCAAGTTGAGTGAGCAAATTATACAGGGGTGAATTTCCCTGAAAGCTTTGTACCACTATGATCATCTTTTGTTCATTGTCTATTAGGGAAACTCACCCCAAAGCGATTCACCTAAATCACAGCATACCTCGAGATGTCTAATATATTGGTACCCTTCTCTTACAGATTAGTTCGTCGTTCCAGATGGGGCCCAACCAGGCGTACCAGAACCAGTTCATGAACCAGGGGCCAGGGGGGCCCCGAGGCCCTCCATCCCTCCCAGGGAACATGGGCCCCGGCCCCGGCCCTGGCATGAACCTCTCCCACATGGGAATGAACCAGCCCCGGGCCCAGGGGATGGGGCCCTTTGGGAGCCAGGGGGGCGAGAGGATGCTCCAGCAGGGATACCCGGGACCGAGGCCTCAGGGAATGGGCATCCAGGGTATGAAGAGACCCTATCCTGGAGAGGTGAGTGGAGCTGTGGAGGTGTGGATCTGGGACCACCATGACTGGCAGTAGTGCTCACTGTAGATCAGGGTTCTTCAATTCCGGTCCTGGAGGGCCGAAACACTTATGTTTTTTATTTCTACCTGGTAGTTAATTGCACTCACCTGGTGTCCCAGGTCTGAATTAGCCCCTGATTAGAAGGAGAGGATGAAACACAGAGGTGTTTCGGCCCTCCAGGACCGGAATTAAAGAACCCTGCTGTAGATGCTTGTATATTACTCACCATAGATGAAGAAGTTGAATGAATGTTAATGTAATGTTCATGTAGTGTAATGTTAATGTAATGTAATGTAATGTAATGTTAATGTAATGTTAATGTAATGTAATGTAATGTAATGTAATGTTAATGTAATGTTAATGTTAATGTTAATGTAATGTAATGTAATGTTAATGTAATGTTAATGTTTAATGTTAATGTAATGTTAATGTAATGTTAATGTAATGAAATGTTAATGTAATGTAATGTTAATGAAGTAGTTTCATTTCCCAAAATGTGAAACAAAGTTTGCATTTCCTTCTCATTGAACCCCTCAAAGTATGGCTATACAGGACTTTGCTGCTGTCGCTGGTCTTTCTCTGTCATTCTTCCAACTGTTAACGACGATGAGGTCTTTCTCTGTCATTCTTCCAACTGTTAACGACGATGAGGTCTTTCTCTGTCATTCTTCCAACTGTTAACGACGATGAGGTCTTTCTCTGTCATTCTTCCAACTGTTAACGACGATGAGGTCTTTCTCTGTCATTCTTCCAACTGTTAACGACGATGAGTCTTCTCTGTCATTCTTCCAACGGTTAACGACGATGAGGTCTTTCTCTGTCATTCTTCCAACTGTTAACGACGATGAGGTCTTTCTCTGTCATTTTTCCAACTGTTAACGACGATGAGGTAGTGGTGGAGAGTCGACTCCAAGATAATTGATTCCTCGAATCCTTGCACGCCGATTCCCGTTGTCAACTCCCATTTCTGAGTGTCAAGTTTTTGATTCCTCTGGAAATCGACTCATAACATTCTGTATTTTTGGAACGGACGAGACTGATTAGTTGCCGTACTTCCGAGAACACAAAAACTGGCATCTGTCATAGCGAGCTAGCGAGGGACAGAGAGTGGGGGGAGGGGCACAGTATAGGCAGGTCAGCCACCAGACAGACAGTCAGAACCGTGCACTAGGCCTATCTATCAGTATAGGCAGGTCAGCCACCAGACAGTCAGAACTGTGCACTAGGCCTATCTATCAGTATAGGCAGGTCAGCCACCAGACAGACAGTCAGAACCGTGCACTAGGCCTATCTATCAGTATAGGCAGGTCAGCCACCAGACAGACAGTCAGAACCGTGCACTAGGCCTATCTATCAGTATAGGCAGGTCAGCCACCAGACAGACAGTCAGAACCGTGCACTAGGCCTATCTATCAGTATAGGCAGGTCAGCCACCAGACAGTCAGAACTGTGCACTAGGCTAGGGCCTATCTATCAGTATAGGCAGGTCAGCCACCAGACAGGACAGTCAGAACCGTGCACTAGGCCCATCTATCAGTATAGGCAGGTCAGCCACCAGACAGACAGTCAGAACCGTGCACTAGGCCTATCTATCAGTATAGGCAGGTCAGCCACCAGACAGAACCGTGCACTAGGCCTGTCTATCAGCAATTAAAAGCTGTATCTCACAATGGAATGCTGTGCCTCGCAATTTATTGGCTTGCAAAGCAGGGCCTATCATCAATGAATAGTTTAGGATATTGAGATGAGCAAGATCAAATCAAATCAAATTGTATTTGTCACATGCGCCAAAGAAAACAGCTGTAGACCTTACAGTGAAATACTTACTTACAAGCCCTTAACCAACAATGCAGTTTTAAGAAAGAATACCAAAAAAAAAATATATATATATATATATACAATTTAAAATAATATGAAATAAAAGTAACAAATAATTAAAGAGCAGCAGTAAACATAACAATAGCGAGGCTATATACAGGGGGTACCGGTACAGAGTCAATGTGAGGGGGCACCGGTTAGTCGAGGTAATTGAGGTAATATGTACATGTAGGTAGAGTTATTAAAGTGACTATGCATAGATAATAAACAGAGTAGCAGCAGCGTAAAAGAGGGGTGGGGCGGCAGTGCAAACAGTCTGGGTAGCCATGATTAGCTGTTCAGGAGTCTTATGGCTTGGGGTTAGAAGCTGTTTAGAAGCCTCTTGGACCTAGACTTGGCGCTCCGGTACTGCTTGCCGTGCAGTAGCAGAGAGAACAGTCTATGACTAGGGTGGCTGGACTCTTTGACAATTTTGAGGGCCTTCCTCTGACACCGCCTGGTATAGAGGTCCTGGATGGCAGGAAGCTTGGCCCAGTGATGTACTGGGCCGTACGCACTACCCTCTGTAGTGCCGTGCGGTCGGAGGCCGAGCAGTTGCATACCAGGCAGTGATGCAACCAGTCAGGATGCTCTCGATGGTGCAGCTGTAGAACCTTTTGAGGATCTGAGGACACATGCCAAATCTTTTCAGTCTCCTTAGGTTTTGGCGTGCCTTCTTCACCACTGTCTTGGTGTGCTTGGACCATGTTCGTTTGTTGGTGATGTGGACACCAAGGAACTTGAAGCTCTCAACCTGCTCCACTACAACCCTGTCGATGAGAATAGGGGCGTGCTCGGTCCTCTTCTTTTTCCTGTAGTCCACAATCATCTCCTTTGTCTTGATCACGAGGGAGAGGTTGTTATCCTGGCACCACACGGCCAGGTCTCTGACCTCCTCCCTATCTTGTTGCTGTCGGTGATCAGGCCTACCACTGTTGTGTCATCGGCAATCTTAATAATGGTGTTGGAGTCGTGCCTGGCCATGCAGTCATGAGTGAACAGGGAGTACAGGAGGGGACTGAGCATGCACCCCTGAGGGGCCCCCGTGTTGAGAATCAGCGTGGCGGATGTGTTGTTACCTACCCTTACCACCTGGGGGCAGCCCGTCAGGAAGTCCAGGATCCAGTTGCAGAGGGAGGTGTTTAGTCCCAGGGTCCTTAGCTTAGTGATGAGCTTTGAGGGCACTATGGTGTTGAACACTGAGCTGTAGTCAATGAATAGCATTCTCACATAGGTGTTCCTCTTGTCCAGGTGGGAAAGGGCAGTGTGGAGCACAATAGAAATTGCATCATCTGTGGATCTGTTGGGGCGATATGCAAATTGGAGTGGGCCTAGGGTTTCTGGGATAATGGTGTTGATGTGAGGCATGAGCAGCCTTTCAAAGCACTTCATTGCTACAGACGTGAGTGCTACGGTTCAGTAGTCATTTAGGCAGGTTATCTTAGTGTTCTTGGGCACAGGGACCATGGTGGTCTGCTTGAAACATGTTGGTATTACAGACTCAGACAGGGAGAGGTTGAAAATGTCAGTGAAGACACTTGCCAGTTGGTCAGCGCATGCTCGGAGTACACGTCCAGGTAATCCGTCTGGCACTGCGGCCTTGTGAATGTTGACCTGTTTAAAGGTCTTACTCACATCGGCTACGGAGAACGTGATCACACAGTCATCCAGAACAGCTGATGCTCTCATGCATGTTTCAGTGTTACTTGCCTCGAAGCGAGCATAAAAGTAATTTAGCTCATCTGGTAGGCTTGTGTCACTGGGCAGCTCGCGGCTGTGTTTCCCTTTGTAGTCTGTAATAGTTTTCAAGCCCTGCCACATCTGACGAGCGTCAGAACCGGTGTAGTACGATTCGATCTTAGTCCTGTTTGATGGTTTGTCGGAGGGCATAGCGGGATTTCTTATAAGTTTCCGGGTTAGAGTCCCGCTCCTTGAAAGCGGAAGCTTTACTCTTTAGCTCAGTGCGGATGTTGCCTGTAATCCATGGCTTCTGGTTGGGGTATGTACGTACAGTCATTGTGGGGACGACGCCATCGATGCCCTAATTGATGAAGCCAGTGACTGATGTGGTGTACTCCTCAATGCCATCGGAAGAATCCCGGAACATATTCCAGTCTGTGCTAGCAAAACAGTCCTGTAGCTTAGCATCTGCTTCATCTGACCACTTTTTTATGTTTTTGCTTGTAAGGAATCAGGAGGATAGAGTTATGGTCAGATTTTCCAAATGCAGGGCGAGGGAGAGCTTTGTAGCGTCTCTGTGTGTGGAGTAAAGGCAGTCTAGAGTTTTTTTCCCCTCTGGTTGCACATTTAACATGCTGGTAGAAATGAGGTAAAACGGATTTAAGTTTCCCTGCATTAAAGTCCCCGGCTACTAGGAGCGCTGCCTCTGGATGAGCGTTTTCCTGTTTTCTTATGGCCGTACACAGTTCATTGAATGCGGTCTTAGTGCCAGCATCTGTTTGTGATGGTAAATAGACAGCTGCTCTTTAGATGTGGAAATTGACCCACTATGCTGTTTACTTTCTGCATCTACTTCATATGGCTGAGTCTACCTTTAAATATAGAACTTCCCCAGGCCTTTATAGCCTATCATCTAGTTAAATATAGAACTTTCCCCAGGCCTTTATAGCCTATCGTCTAGTTAAATATAGAACTTTCCCCAGGCCTTTATAGCCTATCGTCTAGTTAAATATACAACTTCCCCAGGCCTTTATAGCCTATTGTCTAGTTAAATATACAACTTCCCCCAGGCCTTTATAGCCTATCGCCTAGTTAAATATAGAACTTTCCCCAGGCCTTTATAGCCTATCGTCTAGTTAAATATACAACTTCCCCAGGCCTTTATAGCCTATTGTCTAGTTAAATATACAACTTCCCCAGGCCTTTATAGCCTATCGTCTAGTTAAATATACAACTTCCCCAGGCCTTTATAGCCTATCGCCTAGTTAAATATACAACTTCCCCAGGCCTTTATAGCCTATCGCCTAGTTAAATATACAACTTCCCCCAGGCCTTTATAGCATATCGCCTAGTTAAATATACAGCTTTCCCCAGGCCTTTATAGCCTATCATCTAGTTAGGCTTTAACACTGAAAACAATATGTTTTGTGATAACTGCACTGTGATAAAAAAAAAAATACTTCTTAACATAAAGAATCCCAATTTCATTTAAACTATTTATTCCCTTGGACAATAATTTTGTATGTTGTTTTTTACTGATATCTTTTGATTGTACCAAACATTTTATTGTAATACTTGTCCTTCTTTCATTCCTCCCTAGCCTAACTATTGTTAGCTTAATAATTATTGTCTAATCAATCTATTACTTGATAAAATACTTAACTGTAATATTTTTCCTTCTTTTGTTCCCCCCTATAAAGCCTAACTACGGAGGGCAGCAGTACGGTCCAGGACCAAACAGTCAGGGGTTCCCCCAGCAGCAGAGCCAGTACCCCACCCACACCCCCAACCCCTCCAGGTCACTCCCGTCCCCCAACTACCCAGGCCAGAGGATGCCTGGTGGGCAGCAGATCCAGGGCCAGTACCCCCCTCCTGGAGGGGCCATGGGACAGTACTACAAGGTAAGCCACCATAGACACTAGTCCAGGGCTCTCCAACCCTGTTCCAGGAGAGATACCCTCCTGTAGGTTTACATCTATCTAGTCCAGGGCTCTCCAACCCTGTTCCTGGAGAGATACCCTCCTGTAGGTTTACATCTATCTAGTCCAGGGCTCTCCAACCCTGTTCCTGGAGAGATACCCTCCTGTAGGTTTACATCTATCTAGTCCAGGGCTCTCCAACCCTGTTCCTGGAGAGATACCCTCCTGTAGGTTTACATCTATCTAGATCAGGGCTCTCCAACCCTGTTCCTGGAGAGATACCCTCCTGTAGGTTTACATCTATCTAGTCCAGGGCTCTCCAACCCTGTTCCTGGAGAGATACCCTCCTGTAGGTTTTCACTCTAATCCCAGTTGTAACTAACCTGATTCAGTTTATCAACCAACTAATTATTAGACACAGGTGTGCTAGATCAGGGTTGGAGTGAAAACCTACAGGACGGTAGCTCTCCAGGGTTAGAGAGACATGCACTAGAGTCCATAGTGCAGGGGTGTCAAACTCATTCCATGGAGGGCCCAGTGTCTGCTGGTTTTTGGGGTTTTGGGTTTTCCTTTCAATTAAGACCTAGACAACCAGGTGAGGGGAGTTCCTTACTAATCAGTGACCTTAATTCATCCATCAAGTACAAGGGAGGGTATCTCTCCAGGAACAGGGTTGGAGAGCCCTGGAACTAGATAGATGTAAACCTACAGGAGGGTATCTCTCCAGGAACAGGGTTGGAGAGCCCTGGACTAGATAGATGTAAACCTACAGGAGGGTATCTCTCCAGGAACAGGGTTGGAGAGCCCTGGACTAGATAGATGTAAACCTGCAGACACTCGGCACGCCGTTGAATGAGTTTGACATTCGTGCCAAGGTGAGTGACTGCTAACAGTACATTACCTGTGTACTCAGCGCTGCACCGTTTATAGCATAATAATAATTGTAATCCAATGTTTTGTCCTGTGTCCCTTTACAGCAAGAGCCTTTCAACGGTCAAAGTAACACCTTTTCTGGGAGTGGATATCAGTACAGCCAAGGCAATATGAACGGGGTAAGCTTTACTGTCACCTTCCAACCTGCCCAGTGCCCACTCATATTCAAATGTATGATACACGATGATATTTGGTACATTTTATTTGATCTATGCACAGTAGTTATATATTTATGGTTATTGATGCACTTAACTGTATTGTGATGTTATTTGGTTACTTCTTCTACACAAATATAATATAATACATTTATACATATATATATATATTTCCATTTTAATGTGTTATAATCCTTGCAGCCTCCTCGACCGATGGGTAACTACCCTCACTCCCCCGTGCTTGGCAACCCGACTCCGCCCATGACCCCAGGAAGTAGTATCCCTCCATACCTGTCTCCCAATCAGGACGTCAAAACCCCCTTCCCTCCAGACATCAAACCAAATATCATCGCTATTCCTCCACTTCCAGGTCAGTCTCTCTCTTACTCCCTTTCACACACTCACACTCTCTCTCTCACACACACACTCTCTCTCTCGCTCTCTCACACACTCTCTCTCTCTCTGTCTTCTCTCTCTCTCTCTCTCTCTCTCTCTCTTCTCTCTCCTCTCTCTCTGTCTCTCTGTTCTCTCTCTCTCTTTCTCTCTCTCTCTTCTCTCTCTCTCTCTCTCTCTTCCATCTCCCTCTATCATCCTTCCTCTGCTCTCATTCTCTCCTCTCGCCGTCTCTCTCTGTCTTGCCACAACAGAGTACTTCCCATCCCACCTATCCTCATGCCCCCAGCCGATAACCTACTTTATTGCCCCTTTATCACTCAACCCTTGTTATCTTATACAGAACTTGAAAGGCTTGAATTAAGGTTCAGTAGAATTGGTACAGTATCAAAACCAACCTTTATTTGAGGAAAAGTCTTTCCTGTCCCATTTCTCCTTTCCATGTCTTTTTACTTCTCTTTTTCCTTTCCTATCCCGAAGGAAAGAGAAGCAGAAAGAAAAGGGAAAAAAAGAATGAAGAAAACAAGGAAAAAGACGAAGCCCTACTCACCCAAAACCCTATTCCACCTCTCCCTTCCGCCCTTCCAAACTCCCCCTGCCTCCCCCCCTCCTCCTCCTCCTCCCCCTCCTCCCCTCCTCCACCCAGCCAACCCAAAGAGGGCTACGTCTGACCTTCCCGGTGAGGGATGGAGTGGTCCTAGAGCCCTTCAGACTGGAGCACAACCTGGCCGTCAGTAACCATGTCTTCCACCTCCGACCCTCTGTACACCAGACCCTCATGTGGCGGTAAGAAACCCTCCATACATCTAACCCTAATCCTAAATACACTAGAACCTGATGTGGAGGTAAGGACAGTGCCTCTCTGTGGTACAGTACTGTTTGTACACCATCAAGATCCTGTTCTATTACACTATAGTATACACCACCAGGTCCTGTTCTATTACACTATAGTATACACCACCAGGTCCTGTTCTATTACTATAGTATACACCACCAGGTCCTGTTCTATTACTATAGTATACACCACCAGGTCCTGTTCTATTAACACTATAGTATACACCACCAGGTCCTGTTCTATTACACTATAGTATAACCACCAGGTCCTGTTCTATTACACTATAGTATACACCACCAGGTCCTGTTCTATTACACTATAGTATACACCACCAGGTCCTGTTCTATTACACTATAGTATACACCACCAGGTCCTGTTCTATTACTATAGTATACACCACCAGGTCCTGTTCTATTACTATAGTATACACCACCAGGATCCTGTTCTATTACTATAGTATACACCACCAGGATCCTGTTCTATTACTATAGTATACACCACCAGGATCCTGTTCTATTACTATAGTATACACCACCAGGTCCTGGTTCTATTACTATAGTATACACCACCAGGTCCTGTTCTATTACTATAGTATACACCACCAGGTCCTGTTCTATTACAACTATATATACAACCACCAGGTCCTGTTCTATTACACTATAGTATACAACCACCAGGTCCTGTTCTATTACACTATAGTATACACCACCAGGTCCTGTTCTATTACTATAGTATACACACCAGGTCCTGTTCTATTACTATAGTATACACCACCAGGTCCTGTTCTATTACACTATAGTATACACCACCAGGTCCTGTTCTATTACACTATAGTATACACCACCAGGTCCTGTTCTATTACTATAGTATACACCACCAGGTCCTGTTCTATTACTATAGTATACACCACCAGGTCCTGTTCTATTACTATAGTATACACCACCAGGTCCTGTTCTATTACTATAGTATACACCACCAGGTCCTGTTCTATTACACTATAGTATACACCACCAGGTCCTGTTCTATTACACTATAGTATACACCACCAGGTCCTGTTCTATTACACTATAGTATACACCACCAGGTCCTGTTCTATTACCTATAGTATACACCACCAGGTCCTGTTCTATTACTATAGTATACACCACCAGGTCCTGTTCTATTACATATAGTATACACCACCAGGTCCTGTTCTATTACACTATAGTATACACCACCAGGTCCTGTTCTATTACACTATAGTATACACCACCAGGTCCTGTTCTATTACACTATAGTATACACCACCAGGTCCTGTTCTATTACCTATAGTATACACCACCAGGTCCTGTTCTATTACACTATAGTATACACCACCAGGTCCTGGTTCTATTACACTATAGTATACACCACCAGGTCCTGTTCTATTACACTATAGTATACCACAGGTCCTGTTCTATTACCTATAGTATACACCACCGGTCCGTCTATTACTATAGTATACACCACCAGGTCCTGTTCTATTACACTATAGTATACACCACCAGGTCCTGTTATATTACTATAGTATACACCACCAGGTCCTGTTCTATTACACTATAGTATACACCACCAGGTCCTGTTATATTACTATAGTATACACCACCAGGTCCTGTTCTATTACACTATAGTATACACGACCAGGTCCTGTTCTATTACTATAGTATACACCACCAGGTCCTGTTCTATTACACTATAGTATACACCACCAGGTCCTGTTCTATTACCACTATAGTATACACCACCAGTCCTGTTCTATTACTATAGTAGACACCACCAGGTCCTGTTCTATTACACTATAGTATACACCACCAGGTCCTGTTCTATTACACTATAGTATACACCACCAGGTCCTGTTCTATTACTATAGTATACACCACCAGGTCCTGTTCTATTACACTATAGTATACACCACCAGGTCCTGTTCTATTACTATAGTATACACCACCAGGTCCTGTTCTATTACACTATAGTATACACCACCAGGTCCTGTTCTATTACACTATAGTATACACCACCAGGTCCTGTTCTATTACACTATAGTATACACCACCAGGTCCGGTTCTATTACTATAGTATACACCACCAGGTCCTGTTCTATTACACTATAGTATACACCACCAGGATCCTGTTCTATTACACTATAGTATACACCACCAGGTCCTGTTCTATTACTATAGTATACACCACCAGGTCCTGTTCTATTACACTATAGTATACACCACCAGGATCCTGTTCTATTACACTATAGTATACACCACCAGGTCCTGTTCTATTACACTATAGTATACACCACCAGGTCCTGTTCTATTACTATAGTATACACCACCAGGTCCTGTTCTATTACACTATAGTATACACCACCAGGTCCTGTTCTATTACTATAGTATACACCACCAGGATCCTGTTCTATTACACTATAGTATACACCACCAGGTCCTGTTCTATTACACTATAGTATACACCACCAGGTCCTGTTCTATTACACTATAGTATACACCACCAGGATCCTGTTCTATTACACTATAGTATACACCACCAGGTCCTGTTCTATTACACTATAGTATACACCAACCAGGTCCTGTTCTATTACTATAGTATACACCACCAGGTTCCTGTTCTATTACACTATAGTATACACCACCAGGTCCTGTTCTATTACTATAGTATACACCACCAGGTCCTGTTCTATTACTATAGTATACACCACCAGGATCCTGTTCTATTACTATAGTATACACCACCAGGTCCTGTTCTATTACTATAGTATACACCACCAGGTCCTGTTCTATTACTATAGTATACACCACCAGGTCCTGTTCTATTACTATAGTATACACCACCAGATCCTGTTCTATTACACTATAGTATACACCACCAGGTCCTGTTCTATTACACTATAGTATACACCACCAGGTCATGTTCTATTACACTATAGTATACACCACCAGGTTCTGTTCTATTACACTATAGTATACACCACCAGGTCCTGTTCTATTACTATAGTATACACCACCAGGTCCTGTTCTATTACTATAGTATACACCACCAGGATCCTGTTCTATTCTATAGTATACACCACCAGGTCCTGTTCTATTACTATAGTATACACCACCAGGATCCTGTTCTAAATTACTATAGTATACACACCAGGTCCTGTTCTATTACTATAGTATACACCACCAGGTCCTGTTCTATTACACTATAGTATACACCACCAGGTCCTGTTCTATTACACTATAGTATACACCACCAGGTCCTGTTCTATTACTATAGTATACACCACCAGGTCCTGTTCTATTACTATAGTATACAACACCAGGTCCTGTTCTATTACACTATAGTATACACCACCAGGTCCTGTTCTATTACTATAGTATACACCACCAGGTCCTGTTCTATTACACTATAGTATACACCACCAGGTCCTGTTCTATTACACTATAGTATACACCACCAGGTCCTGTTCTATTACACTATAATATACACCACAGGTCCTGTTCTATTACACTATAGTATACCACCACCAGGTCCTGTTCTATTACTATAGTATACACCACCAGGTCCTGTTCTATTACACTATAGTATACACGACCAGGTCCTGTTCTATTCCTATAGTATACACCACCAGGATCCTGTTCTATTACACTATAGTATACACCACCAGGTCCTGTTCTATTACTATAGTATACACGACCAGGTCCTGTTCTATTACACTATAGTATACACCACCAGGTCCTGTTCTATTACTATAGTATACACCACCAGGTCCTGTTCTATTACACTATAGTATACACCACCAGGTCCTGTTCTATTACTATAGTATACACCACCAGGTCCTGTTCTATTACACTATAGTATACACCACCAGGTCCTGTTCTATTACTATAGTATACCACCACCAGGTCCTGTTCTATTACTATAGTATACACCACCAGGTCCTGTTCTATTACTATAGTATACACCACCAGGTCCTGTTCTATTACTATAGTATACACCACCAGGTCCTGTTCTATTACTATAGTATACACCACCAGGTCCTGTTCTATTACTATAGTATACACCACCAGATCCTGTTCTATTACACTATAGTATACACCACCAGGTCCTGTTCTATTACACTATAGTATACACCACCAGGTCCTGTTCTATTACTATAGTATTACACCACCAGGTCATGTTTTATTACACTATAGTAACACACCAGGTCCTGTTCATTACTATATATACACCACCAGGATCCTGTTCTATTACACTATAGTATACACCACCAGGTCCTGTTTTATTACACTTTGTTATACACCACCAGGTCCTGTTCTATTCACTATGTATACACCCCCAGGTCCTGTTTTATTACACTATAGTAACACCACCAGTCCGTTCTATTACTAATTTACACCACCCAGGTCATGTTCTATTACACTTAGTATACACCCCCACCAGGTCCTGTTCTATTACACTATAGTATACACCACCAGGTCCTGTTCTATTACTATAGTATACACCACCAGGTCCTGTTCATTACACTATAGTATACACCACCAGGTCCTGTTTATTTCACTATAGTATACACCACCCGGGCCTGTTCTATTACACTATAGTATACACACCAGGTCCTGTTCTATTACTATAGTATACACCACCAGGTCCTGTTCTATTAACTATAGTATACACCACCAGGTCCTGTTCTATTAACTATAGTATACACACCCAGGTCCTGTTCTATTACTATAGTATTACACCACCAGGTCCTGTTCTATTACACTATAGTATACACCACCAGGTCCTGTTCTATTACTATAGTTATACACCACCAGGTCCTGTTCTATTACTATAGTATACACCACCAGGTCCTGTTCTATTACTACTAGTATTACACCACCAGGATCCTGTTCTATTACCTATAGTATACACCACCAGGTCCTGTTCTATTACACTATAGTATACACCACCAGGTCCTGTTCTATTACTATAGTATACACCACCAGGTCCTGTTCTATTACTATAGTATACACCACAGGTCCTGTTCTATTACACTATAGTATACACCACCAGGTCCTGTTCTATTACACTTATAGTATACACCACCAGGTCTGTTCTATTACTATAGTATACACCCACCCGGATCCTGTTCTATTACACTATAGTATACACCACCAGGTCCTGTTCTATTACACTATAGTATACACCACCAGTCCTGTTCTTTACACTATAGTATACACCACCAGGATCCCGTTCTATTACTATAGTATACACCACCAGGTCCTGTTCTATTACACTATAGTAACACCACCAGGTTGTTCTATTACACTATAGTATACCCACCAGGTCCTGTTCTATTACACTATAGTATACACCACCAGGATCCTGTTTATTACACTATAGTATCACCCAACCAGGTCCTGTTCTATTACAAATATAGTATACACCACCAGGTCTGTTCTATTACACTATAGTAACACCACCAGGTCCCGTTCTATACTATAGTATACACCACCAGGTCCTGTTCTATTACACTATAGTATACACCACCAGGTCCTGTTCTATTACACTATAGTATACACCACCAGGATCCTGTTCTATTACACTATAGTATTTCACCACCAGGTCCTTTCTATTACTATAGTATACAACCACCAGGTCCTGTTCTATACACTATAGTATACACCCCCCAGGTCCTGTTCTATTACTATAGTATCACCACCAGGTCCTGTTTATTACACTATAGTTACACCCACCAGGTCCTGTTCTATTACTATAGTATACACCCACCAGGTCCTGTTCTATTACACTATAGTATACACCACAGGTCCTGTTCTATTACTATAGTATACACCAACCAGGTCCTGTTTCTATTACACTATAGTATACACCACAGGTCTGTTCTATTACACTATAGTATACACCACCAGGTCCTGTTCTATTACACTATAGTATACACCACAGGATCCTGTTCTATTACACTATAGTATACACCACCAGGATCCTGTTCTATTACACTATAGTATACACCACCCAGGTCCTGTTCTATGTACTATAGTATACACCACCAGGTCCTGTCTATTACACTATAGTATACACCACCAGGTTCCTGTTCTATTACTATAGTATACACCACCAGTCCTTGTTCTATTACACTATAGTATACACCACCAGGTCCTGTTCTATTACTATAGTATACACCACCAGGTCCTGTTCTATTACACTATAGTATACACCACCAGGTCCTGTTCTATTACACTATAGTATACACCACCAGGTCCGTTCTATTACTATAGTAACACCACCCAGGTCCTGTTCTATTACACTATAGTATACACCACCAGGTCCTGTTTCTATTACACTATAGTATACACCACAGGTCCTGTTACTATTACACTTAGATAACACCACCAGGTCCTGTTCTATTACACTATAGTATACACACCAGGTCCTGTTCTATACTATAGTATACACCACCAGGTCTGTTCTATTACTATAGTATACACCACAGGTCCTGTTCTATTACTATAGTATACACCACCAGGTCCTGTTCTATTACACTATAGTATACACCACCAGGTCCTGTTCTATTACTATAGTATACACCACCAGGATCCTGTTCTATTACTATAGTATACACCACCAGGTCCTGTTCTATTACACTATAGTATCACAGGCAGTGGACAGAATCATTTTGGAATTACAGATACACTAGCTAGTTAGCGTTACAGATACACTAGCTAGTTAGCGTTACAGATACACTAGCTAGTTAGCGTTACAGATACACTAGCTAGTTAGCGTTACAGATACACTAGCTAGTTAGCGTTACAGATACACTAGCTAGGTAGAGTTACAGATACACTAGCTAGTTAGCGTTACAGATACACTAGCTAGTTAGCGTTACAGATACACTAGCTAGTTAGCGTTACAGATACACTAGCTAGTTAGCGTTACAGATACACTAGCTAGTTAGCGTTACAGATACACTAGCTAGTTAGCGTTACAGATACACTAGCTAGTTAGCGTTACAGATACACTAGCTAGGTAGAGTTACAGATACACTAGCTAGTTAGCGTTACAGATACACTAGCTAGTTAGCGTTACAGATACACTAGCTAGTTAGCGTTACAGATACACTAGCTTTGGCCAAGCCTTCCGCTAGAGCGAATGCAAGCTTACAGGTGAACTAACAGGTTCTCTTCCTCTGTCCCCCTGCAGGTCAGATCTGGAGCTGCAGTTTAAATGCTACCATCACGAGGACCGACAGATGAACACCAACTGGCCCGCCTCGGTCCAGGTCAGTAAGAACAGCACGCACACACATACAGTGCCTTCAGAAAGTATTCATACCCCTTGACTTATTCCACATTTTGTTGTTGTTACAGCCTGAATTCTAAATGGATTCAATGTTGTTTTTTCTCACCCATCTACATACAATGACAAAGTGAAAACATGTTTTTTTTTTATGTTTGCAAATGTGTATTGAAAATTAAATACAGAAATAACTCATTTACTTAAGTATTCACACCCCTGAGTCAATACATGTTAGAATCACCTTTGGCAGCGATTACAGCTGTGAGTCTTTCTGGGTAAGTCTCTAAGAGCTTTGCACACCTGGATTGTACAATATTTGGCCATTATTCTTTTCAAAATTCTTCAAGCTCTGTCAAATTGGTTGTTGATCATTGCTAGACAACCATTTTCAGGTCTTGCCATAGATTTTCAAGTAGATTTAAGTCAAAACTGTAACTCGGCCACTCAGGAACATTTACTGTCTTCTCGGTAAGCAACTCCAGTGTA